TCTGTCTGTGTGTCTGTGTCTGTCTGTCTGTGTGTCTGTGTCTGTGTGTCTGTGTGTCTGTGTCTGTGTGTCTGTGTCTGTGTGTGTCTGTGTCTGTCTGTGTCTGTGTGTCTGTGTCTGTCTGTGTCTGTCTGTGTCTGTGTCTGTGTCTGTGTGTCTGTGTGTCTGTGTGTCTGTGTGTCTGTGTGTCTGTCTGTCTGTCTGTCTGTCTGTCTGCCTGCCTGCCTGCCTGCCTGCCTGCCTGCCTGCCTGCCTGTCTGTCTGTCTGTCTGTCTGTCGTCTGTCTGTCTGTCTGTCTGTCTGTCTGTCTGTCTGTCTGTCTGTCTGTCTGTCTGTCTGTCTGTCTGTCTGTCTGTCTGTCTGTCTGTGGCTGGCTGGCTGGCTGGCTGGCTGGCTGGCTGGCTGGCTGTCTCTCTCTCTCTCTCTCTATCTATCTCTCTATCTGTCTATCTATCTATCTATCTACCTATCTATCTGTCTATCTCTCTATCTCTCTATCTCTATCTATCTATCTTTCTATATCTATCTATCTGTACCTATCTTTGAATATCTATCTATCTATCTCTATCTATCTACCTATCTACCTATGTATCTATCTGTCTATCTATCTATCTATCTATCTATTTATGTATCTATCTATCTATCTATCTATCTCTCTTTCAATCTTTCTGTCTATCTATCTACCTATCTATCTATCTATCTACCTATTGAGAGAAAATACATCATCAGCAGTATTCTTGGGCGGGGCTGCCTGAGCGCTGGATTTGAATATATAGGTCCTAACTCCCTGCCTTCACGCGAAGTCTAATAGTACGTGATACTAAGAGGTAGCAAACACGTTCTTGTCTACAAAGAATTTCTCCAAGACCCAAGGTGAAAGTAGAAGAACGCGACCATTCAGGGTTCCCAACTCGTTCACACCCTTTCATACTGGTGCAAACCAAGCGAGGCCAGCTTGACCATGTTGCTTTCACTCCTCCTTATTTTTGTATGATTCATGTGACTGATTCCTTCTTGCAGTGGGTTTTCCTGCGAACTGCCTCATGTGATGCGTCTACGCTTGGTTTTGCATCATGCCCAGGAAGCGCTTTGGAGAGCAGTTCCCCGAAAAGAAACATCGCCATTTCCAAATCCTGAAGACTGCGTTTGCCGCCAAGGCTCGGTTTTCATGTGGAAAAAATCCATGGCTTGGAACTTGGAACTTGTACCCATTTTACACATCCTTGGGTCAAGACTCAGCCGGTGAACCACTCATAGACTATCTGGTGTACACTGGGAAAAAGACTAGGTAAAAAATGAGGGACAAATCAGACATTGGCTTTATTTCTACACCTATGATGGCGCACGAAGTGCTCTTGAAATGCATTTGACATCGCTGCCAGGAGGGGGAAAAGAAAAGAGGCAAAGGAAAGGATGGGGAGGAAAAACCCAATGCAAAGGTCTGTGAGTGTCAGAAGGCCGGTGATATTCCTTTTTGCCTCGGCAGCGCATTGAAGTGCTAACAGTCAAGTTGCCGTGACATTCCATGTGCAACATTGGGTTCATATCGTTCCCTGCAGGAAAGAAAGATGAGTGCTGGAAACAAGACGGCGGCGCTCATCGATGAGGACATGTGACTGCTTCAGCCAGTGAACGAAACAAAATGGGTCTTCCTTCTTTTTGCAAACTTTAGGACCAAGAAGTGTTTGTTACTAGTAGCTTCTTGTTACTAGTAGTAAGGCTAGGAACTACTAGTAGCATCCTTGCTCCTAGTAGCGATGCCCTTTGTTCCTAGTAGTTTCTTGATGCTTCTTGTTACTAGTAGTGATATGTCCAGAGCCGGCAGGGGTCACGGCAATTCTTGCCAATTCAAGCTGCGTGGAGCCGTTCTCCTTTCACTCCGTAGGAATCCGACATCATGAGCCTTGAAGACGATGCAGGAAAGACGGGTTGCGGGAGAGTCCATAGCGAGCTTTCGTCGATCAATTCCATTCTTGCATGCATGAATTTGCCTCTTGAAGGCTGATTTTGCGGTTGGTTCCATCCGTGCAAGAGCTGTTGAGTTTGTCTAATGTCCAATCAAACACGACTCTTGGGTCGAATCACTGATCGCAGGTAACAGCGATCTCCTCATGGCCGCTCGAATCCTTGCTCCTTTTGGCATGGACTCAAAGGATGTTGATGTTTTGGTGAAGCCCCCGCCGTCGCAGGTGCGAAGATAAACGTGTCATTTCAACTCCACACCTTCCACGATAAGTTTGAATTGAGCGAAGTCTTGCGTGTTTGTTCGTAAGCAACTTGGAAGTGTTACTGGCGTGCTTTGTGTGTTTTTGTTTAGCTTCCCTTTGAATCTGACACAGAGAGATGTACACCGTTTGCTTGGAATACCTTTTTGCAAGTACATATATTCAAGACACATACTATATCGAGATGTAGGGTGATATACCAAGAGTCTGATTACACTACAATTGTCATACATTTTTTTGGCATAAAGCTTTGAAGATGTATGTTTTCACCTTATTCACCGAACAGACGGTGTGAAGAGGTCTCCGGTGTGTTCTCCCCAGAGGCCCTGCCAGTCCTGAAGGGTCTCCGGTCGGTGGCTTCCTGGGATGAGCTGCAATCGAAGCTGACGGACACCAAGTTGCTTCCGGTGGTGAAGTCGTTGAAGCGGCATTCAGATCGAGACGTGGCCCACTTGGCCAAGGAGCTGATGGAATCTTTCAGAGTCAGCTGTAAACAAGCGAAAACCAAGAGAGAAACTGAACAGAACTTGATGCCAGAAGCTTTTTGTTGAATTTCTCATGATTGATGGAGCATTAAACAGAGTTTGCACAGCCCCGACCTTCAAGACCTCCAAGGAAAGTAAAGAGGCTTTGGAAGACAAGGTGCCTGCGAAAGATAAGGTGCCTGATGGGTGCTAATGCCGGATCGGGTCGCGCAGAGAGCCTCTGAGAAGGCTCCCAAAGTTGGCGACGTTGAGCAGACTTGGCGGCGAGCCAAAATTGACGCCCGATGGTCAGTGGTCGGTTCGTTTCAGCCGCCAACAGTCACACAGGCCACCAGGGGGGCACCTGGACTTGTGCCAGGAACGCGATTTGGTGGTGATGCGCACCGCGCCCAGGTGGTGCGGCAAGGGCAGAGTTCTTTTGAGTCGGACTCTTTTAGAGAATGCATCTCTTTGTAGAGAAGGACATATGATATCATAATATATCATATGATCAGGATTCTTTTAGACAAAAGGTAGAAAAGATCAAGAACGCACATGAACGTCGTTCTTCATCATGATTCTTGAGGCCACGAGTTGGATCTCCGGCGCAACGACGGCGCCATGGAACGGCAGATCTCCACTCTGGTCGGCACTCAGAGCTTCGCTGTGACTCCCCGAACGTGAGGTTGGTCGTCATGTTGGTCATGTTGGATTCGATGGGCGTCACGAAACTGCATGTTGTAGGATTTGCATGGTAGCCTATTCCAGGGCATTCTTTAAGGGGTTGATAGAGTTGATAGGTTATAGTTATCGACGACATTGAACTCAAGAAAAATGAAGGCAGCATCAGATCAGATCTATTGATAATGACAATGCACCACACAAGGAGTCTTGATGTGCTTTGACTTTCGCCCAGGAAGGAACTGATACAAGATTGTGGCACCAGTCGACAGGTTCTCGTGTTACTGAAAAAAGAACAAGACAGTGTGTCGCTTCCAGTGTGTCGCTTCCTCAACAGTATCCGCCCGCCTCCGCATGTCCCTTTTCGCAGAAATTTCCGGCAATCCGCCCGAAACCGGACGCTGCACGTGCAAAAAAAGCCGCTTTATCATCTTTTGAATAATCCTTTCCTCACAGCGTTTGGACATTTCAGACTCCATCGGATTTTGTGGCCCAGATCCAATATGGTGAGCCACATGAAACTGCAATGGCCAAGACAGCGAAGGGCCTAGCGCTGGCCGTTTTGTTTCTGTTTCTGCTTGTGTTTTGCAGTCAGTGGTAGATTTGTCTTGTTGCTGATGAACGGCTTCAAGCTTTGAATAGGAAACACGTATTCTGCAATGGCGAATCAACATAAAGTTTTTGTTTCCAAGTCAACCACAACTGACTGGGTTGGATTGTATGCAAGAAGTTGCGCCTATTATTCAATGCATTTCGCTCAACGCCATATAGTCGGTATAGCAGAGTCTTGATGGCCAAACTTTGTCTGACTTTGCGGCCGAGGTGTTTGACATGCTAAGCTCCAAATTGTTCAACGGATTAGGTGAAAGAAACGAATCTATAGGAAACCATGGTGTTCAGGGATTTCCTGAAGATCTTCCCCCCAAATCTAATTCAGTGCTTTGGTGCAAGTCTCCCAGCTCCCATCTCCGTGGGCGGAGCCCAGCCGAGGTGGGCGTCACTGCGGCGATCTGCGCTCAATTGATCCTGGACACCACACCTGGGCATTTTGGTTTCGGCGTGCAACGACCCTTGAGGCGCGTGTCATTCTGGTAAGAGGAGGGGAATCCCAGCATCGTAGAGCTGAAGAACGGGGTCACGAAGGTACCTGAAGCCGAGCCTTCAAAACACCTGAGATTTGACGGACTCACAGCACTCAAAGTTGTCAGGAACTATTCGTGCTTGAACGCACCGGTGAAGCAGTGCATCTGGACTGTCACCTCACCTCTCTTCATTCCTCCTTCTGAACAGACACAAGTTCTCTTGAGACCCTTTTATGCAGAAGTCCTGGACCCTGGGAGGGCAGATCTGATGGTGAACGGAGACGAACTCCTCTGTTTTTGTGAACAGATGTGTCCAGGCATGAATGGTATCAGCCTGTGCTAAAGAAGCTGGAGGCCCGCTTTCCGTTTTCAGTGCACAAGCTGTTTTTGTGAAACTATTTTGTGCAGGCATATTCCAGCGTTGGTATAAAGAGATGCATCACTGTCATTGAATATCAAAGCACATCAACACATACTATATGCTTTCCTGTCAAGTATGTGATTTTATATCGCATTGTCAGCACAGGAGAGCAGTACAAACAACACAGTACTGTCGAAGGAAGATGATACGGGCTAATCGAGCGCGGAGATATCATGACATGATATGACATGTGTATGTCCGGTGACCATCTTTCGGATCAAGGTACAGATGTTCAACTCCAAAAATCCCTAGGCCCTGAATGAAGAGCTAGACAGCTAGACCATTTTTCATTGTCTTTGGAGAATATCTCAAGCAAGTACCATAGCACCAAAATCAAAGACGTGTCGTTTTAGTACCTGTCACTGTCAATCACTTGGATTCGCTGCCATGACAGTAGATGAAGAAAAGCTTTCTTTGAAGACAAAGCTCCCTGGAACAGAGCGGTGTTCAAGCGTCTCAAATTTCAGCTGTTCAATCGGGGTGCGGATATGTCATTCCAGCGTGTTTGCCTTGTTTGATCCTTTTGTCGGCCCTTCCATGCCAAGTAATTTCCAAACGTCCCTTTCGAACATATATATGTATATATAAATAAATAAAACGGTTCCTTGACCCGTTTGTTTGACAGTCCTCCAATGTCAGCATTTCCTCCATCAGTCAGCTCATGTCAGCATAGCCGAGGATTCTACTTGCTTTGGGTCAGAGTGTTGAAGGTCGGTTGGCATGCTGCATAATATATTGTGTGGTTTTCAGACAAAACTGCCCGAGAGATTGAGTTTCGATGTCAAATGCACAGACTTTGAACTCCACGAGAAGTTCCAGCAGGAATTTGGATTACAGTTGGTGGCTACTACCTCAACAAGTTCTTCCTGGAGACTTGCTGTATTGAGCCCGCACTCGTCGGCCTCATTCAGCTTGGAGTGGCTTGGCACCAAGTTAACTTTGTTACTGATAGTTTGACTGGTGCTTAGGAGGTAACAAGACAAGGGAATGGATTGAAAGAAATCTCTATTGGGGTAGCACCACTTTGGAGTGTTAGCAGCTCCTAGGCGGCTGTGACCTAGGCCCTAGGGTTTAGAAGGCATGGAGGCAATCTGTGAGTGTCTTGTGCAGCACTTGTCTCCATGCAGCAAATTGGGAGCTTGCGCAGTCACGATACCTAGGTTGGACTTTTTGATGCATTTAACGATACACTGATTGGAGCGCTCTCTGACAAGACAAACACTCGATGGGGCACCTTGGCCTTCACAAGGTCATCCACTTTTCGAAGCAGCGATCATGGCGTCAAGGTCCATTCTTCGCACTCATGTGTCCGGCCTTCCTTGTACTTACAAAACAAACAGTGACAAACAGTATGGCACGTCCTGCTTTCAGAAGCCAGGTACATTATGTTTCAGTGCATGTGGCTGATGTTCATATAACTTGGTCATTTCTTCTGACACACAACGACTCAGACTATGCAGGACCTGGCACCTTTTTAGTTTGAGGTCGCCGACGCCCCTGGCTGCTGTTCGGTGGCCCCTTCCTTGCTGCCGCCTACGTCGCAGTGGCTTGGCTGTTCGGGGAGCGGAAGGGAACAGGCGCAGCCTTCCTAAAGCGATGTTCGTAGACTCTTGATGAAGAACCCTCTCCATTCCCTTGAATCTACATGGGGCGTTTATTCATCAAGAGTTTATGTACATTGGATGCTTGGGGCATCTGGCGTTGGAGCGGGAAGTCGATGTCGGCCTCGATGTCCCGAGGTTTGGAACACTCTTCCACTTCGCACACCTCAAGGACTCAAAATGTGCCATGGCTCCGACAGCCGCGACTGCGCAACGCGGAAGCGCCAGCGCGGCAGCGGTGAGTTGACCAGAGACTCGACGGTTTTTTGATCAGAGAGTTCAGTTGACATCAATGATCATGAATGCAATATATGATAATGTATCATCCACCGAAACCAGTTTGAGATTGCTACTGCGGCCTGCGGGTGCAATTTTTTTGAATTGCAGGACTTACAGAACAAGAGATTTACCGTAGTTCCTTTGGCCTGGCCTGGCTTTAGCGGACCGCAGGGAATCCCGAAACTGTGTTAGACACACTGCTCCTTTTCCGGACTTCAACAATCTTCAGAGCATGTGAGCTATGATCGGCAGTTCCCGAGTGTGCAATCAGTCATGAAAGCACCAAGATCCATGCGGGGACTGCAAGAAATCCAGCATGACGTACAAGACCCAAAACCTTTGGTTCGCACATGTTCGCACCATGTGGGGATCGAGTGTTGCCCACTATGACCCAACGTTTTGCCCATTGATCTCCTACTTCCGCATCAACGCCAGGCTTTACTACACCCTGGCGTTTATGTCAGTCTCTGTAGGGCTCACTTCGGTGAGGGTGCAAATGAGCGCCTTGTTGCCCGAACTGACCAGTGATTATAACGAACGATGCTCGGTCTGCAGAGTCCAACGAGTGCCGTTCCAACGAAGTCTTCGTGTTCGCAAGGTAACTCGATCCGTAGCGCCGTGGGGAGTCCGGGAGTCCCGGTTGGAGGCACATAAGGTTTTCGAGATTGACCAGATGGTCTTCTTTTTTGCACATCGCTTTTTCATGCTTTTTCACTCTTTTTTTCAGTTGTGTGCTTGCCAGTATTCACATTATAATGGAGCGTTTTCTATGGTGAGAAGATGTGAGAAGGATGACACATGCTTAGCCTCGTGAGGAATGAACGCTTCTGGCTTCATTGTGGTGGGGGTCAACGCGATTGGTCTCACCTTTGCGATTCTGCACACCGTCATTGTGGGCACGGACAATGAACCAAGTGCTTTGGATTTCGATTTCTGAACCCCAGTCCTTACCAGGCAATCTATAATCAATTATATATGTGGACTGTATATGATTCTATACGACTGTATGCTGTTCATGGCTGTTCTACTCTTATGGTACACTGCTTGGCACGGAATTGCGCAGAAGTATTGAAGTTTTGCTGCCCTACTTGCCCAAGTCGCTTTTTGTCCAATTGAACCATTATTCATTATGCATCTCATCAAGACATTGGCCCAAAGACTGTGACTAAGGACTCACATGAAATTTGAAGTGTTTCATTCAAATGCTTCGAAGATGTTCTAGGCCATGCCGTGAACGTTCAAAAGGCTTACGTAATGCTTTTGGATGTATTTTTTTGACCGTCTGTTGCAGCCCTTAGGATCCTTAGGTGCTTATTTGGAGATCGGAAAAGGATTGGGGGAATTCCTTGGCCCAGCTAGTAGCAAGAAGCTACTAATTAGGTTGGAGGCCATCGCTATTAGGTTGGAGGAATAAAGCACTGTTTCCAAGCCATTGAGGTTCGTTCATGGAGAGCGCTGCGGTTTGCGCCGCTGCGATCCTAATCTTCACGTGGACCGTTTTCTGCGGCATCAAGGCAGGGCGTGGTGTCAGCCATAATCTTCACGTCAAACGGTCAAACGGAAGCTATGGGTGGAGCATAGTGGCATACATAATTTCAGGATATCAGAGGCTTTTGCTGACTCAAACTCTGCAGTTGATAGTACAATATATTTACAGTAATGTATAGATAGTTATATACATGGCATGTAGTACAAACTCTTTTTTGGTTCTCCTGATTTGTTTTTTTCTTGATGCCGAAGAGTCAGCACCCCACGAACTTGTTCAGGAACGATACGAACCACCGGCTGTGCCAATTCCTTCTCCTGGCATTCTTACGGAGCTCGCTTTGGCCGCAAGCCGGGATCTAAGTTTGCGAGAATTGAATGGAGAACACACTTCTTCTACCCTGTTCAAGATAGGAGGTGTGCTCTTTTGTGTGGACACATTCATGCTCCTTACACAAAGATGACAACCACACGCAACCAAAATGCAAGTTTCAATTGGCTGCCGTGAATGGGAGTCAGCGCAACCACGGTATACACGTAAATTGATATGTATTTGTATGGTGGGTCAGCGGTAACCCCTGTGTATGTGTATATATACAATACAAAAACACACACACATATATATATATGTATATATACACATGAGTTCAGCTGGTTCATGTGCGTTCAGCCCACAAGTTCCAACATCCTCCAGTACCTTGTGCTTTCACCAGCTGGATGAGTCCCTTGAAGTCATCTTCCAATCATTTGCTGCAGGAAACAAGGCCTTTTTGTACGTTACCTTGATGTACCTTGCAGGGCCAACAGCTGTCACGCCCCTCGGCATTGTCAATTTACTAGGACCTCCTCGTCCAGCGACCCGAATGAAGCAATTTTGGAACGTCGCGCAGCCCAATCAGTTTGGTACTTGTGAGCTCTGTGCTGAAGCTGTTGATGGTTAGAGTCGGTTGGAGTTCTGATATCACGTTGCTATTCATCACTAGTTTTCTCCAGGGCACTATGTCATGACCGTCCTCGTTGCACCGTCGATCACTGTTCGTTTTTGTACAGCTGGCCTCACTTCGTTGCAAGTTCACTTCGTGTTGCTTTGCCCTAGGTTGACTCAGACCAACATTGCGCTCTTCTGCAAATATGTCCTGCAAGATGAGAGCATTCTACTTCTGCTTTTACCAGTTGTCCAAGGCGAGGTTTGTTTGAGCTCTATTCCATTCTATTCCGGAACCAGTTTGCAACGTTTGGTGTTGCTACGTCGCGTATGGTTTCACTGACTGAGAAAAACTCTAAGGATTCTGCCAGCAAAGAACAAACAAGTTCTGCCATGCATCCAATTTTGTTCTTCCCAACAAGCTTTCTCAAACTGAACCGGCATTTAAGCAAGTTTTTGGTAAGCTAACGGCCCAATATTGTCATGGCTTTCACATTCTCACCTTGATGTACCTCTGCGGCACCTTCGGTACTTGTAGGCAAAACTTGGCGTCGATGCCACCATCGAACGAATTTTGGATGCTTGCGAACTCGTGATTGAACTTCAGTTGTGGTCTTCATATAGTGATAACACGTGTTCAGGT